TTTCTTTCTTTCTTTCTTTCTTTCTTTCTTTCTTTCTTTCTTTCTTTTTTCAGTAGGGTCTCTCTATATAGCCCTGGCTGTCCTGGAACTCACTATGCAGACCAGGCTGGCCTCAAACTCAATACTCTTAATCATTGAGGTATCTCAATCTTTTCAGTGCTGGGATTAAAGGCAATACCACACCTGGCTCAAGTATTTTCTGGTCTAGGATAGGCAACAATAGCTATACTGAAGATCCCCCCATAGAAAACCCGTTTGAAGATATACAGGATATGAATTTCCATGAACTTATTTGTATTCTTGTAGTTTGGTTTCTGCCCTCTGAAATATCTCATTTCCAACACTGGCCCAAATACTGATAGAATTATCTGTAAGACTGTTTACTATTTGTTCAGGAAAATTACAGGTAGGAGTAACTGACAGTTTGGAGCCAACGCCCTGCACTACTTCCGCAGTTGTACAGCAGCCTTCTCATGACACCACCTGAAGGGTTCAGACTTTGGTCTGCTGTAAGAAAGATGCTAAGTGAGTATACCCAGCTCTCCGCTCCTGACCACACATGCACACACAACCAATACACAATAGAGTAAGTTCTTCTGTTTGGATGGGTACACCACAGGCCAGGTGACATCAACAACCTGCCTGGGAGAATCTTTTACATTGACAACACAGAAGTACAGAGGCACAACTGCCTTATTGAGGGATTTTCTGTTACTGCTTTCCAGGCTTTTGTCATTAACTTGTCAGTTTTATCCTGGTATTTCTTGGTATGCATATATCATTGAACTACTTAAATGTGTAGATTATTTTCATCAGTTTTGACACTTTTCCCAATTCTTTGTGAGTGCTAGGAAGTGCATCCAAAGCCTTAGCTAGAGCATTAAGTGCTTAAGACACCTGAGCCATGTCTCCAGCTTCAGGGTTGATGCTTTTTTATTTGATAATAGTTTTAAAATTCTATTTGATTTAAATAATTAGAACTACCCCTGTTCTCATTCAGTTTCCACTTTTATAGAATATCTTATCCATCTTTTCACATTTAGTCTGTATATGTCCTTAAAGACTGAGTCTTTTATAAGTAGCACATAATTGAGTATAATTTTTAATCCATTTAGCTTTATTTGTTTTTTTGTTTTGTTTTGTTTTTTGAAACAAGGTTTCTTTGTGTAGCCTTCGCGGTCCTGGAACTTGCTCTGTAGACCAGGCTGGCCTTGAACTCAGAGATCTGCCTGCTTCTGCCTGCTAAGATTAAAGGCATGCACCACCACCACTCAGTTTCCTTTTAGCGTTTTGATTGGAGACTTTAATCCGCTTAAATTCAAGTTAATTATATGAGGCATTTTTAAACTGATAGCAACTTTGCTTGGATTAAGTACGTATCCTTTTATTTCATTCTCACTGCATCTTAATTTTTGATGTTACAACATGCACTGTTGTATTGTGTTTTTTATCAGATTGTTGCACTATTATTTTTTAACATTTTGTCTCTTAATATTCATAGTAAAGAAGAATAAGCTTGAAGAAATCCCTTTAGCATTGCTTAAAAGACAGTTAAGGAAGACTGACTTCCTCAACTTTGTCTGGAAAAGTTTTATGTGTCTTCATTTATAAAAAGTACAACTTTGCCAGGGACAGTGTTCTTGATTAGGAATGTTTTGTTTTGTTTTGTTTTGTTTTGTTTTGTTTATAAGGTTGAATCATCTCACTCTCAGCTGGCCTACAAGATCTCTGTTGGGGAATCTGATGCCAGCCTTATTGCAACTCTCTGTGTATTACTTGCATCTCTTTGCCACTTTCAGAATTCTTTGGTCTTGGCTTTTGACAGTTTGACTTTGTAGTCCTTCTTACATTGAATCTGATTGAATTTTGACTCTTTGACCATCCCATACTTGGTTAGTTATATCTTTTGTAAAAGTCAAAACATTTTCTCTTTCTTTCTTTGTCCCTTTGTCTATTTCTTCTCTGTCATGTACTTATGCTCTTTTGATGTTATCCCATAAGCTTCTTCATTTTCATTCTTTTAGTCTACTCTGACTATATATTTTCAAATAGTAATATATCTCAAATATTTTCAAATCTTTCTTTGACTTCAGATTTCCTCTTTTTTTTATTCTATTGATGCTCTGTATTGCATTTTCCACTTCAATAATTGCATTTTTCCCTTCAGAATTTTTGTTTGATTTTAAAAATAAGTTCAGTATCTTTGTTAATTTTTCCTTTTGATCATTTAATGTTGTCTTGCTAACATTGTATTTTCTTCCTCTGTTTTTTTTGTCAGCTCTCATTGAGCTTTTCAACAGTTATATTGAGCCATTTTCAGGAAGTCATAAACCTCTTCTTTATAGTTGGTTACTGAAACTTTTCTTGGTTCCTTTACCACTGTATTTCTCTGTGGTTATGCTTTTGTGTCTGTACATTTGAAGAAGTGGGACCTTATTTCCATCTTTCTCTGTGACAGCCCTTCACTGGTCAGTATGTGCTATGAACAGGCTTAGTGTGGCAAAGTTTGTTCCTGGATTACCAGGTGGGTTTGATGCCTGAATCCATGTTTTTAGGCCTATTTTTGTTGTTGTTTTTGTTTTTTTTAAGAGGATGTTATTATGGAACTTTAGCTGGCCTGGAACTCATACAGAATCACCTCCTGCATGCTGGATTAAAAGGTATGTGCAACCCCACCTGTCCTACATACAATGTATTTCAATCAGCTCACCCCCACTCCTCTTCCTCTTAACTTTCCCCATCCCCTTCTCCATTCAACTTCATTTCCTCTATTTTTAATATCTCACTGATTCTAATTTATGCTGTCCATATACTTACACATGGGTATGGGACCATCCACTAAAATATGGTCAACCTACCATATGTCTGTCACACCCTGAGAGAAAACTGATTCTCTTTCTCCCAGAAGCCATCAACTGTCAGTAGCTCCTCCATTAGGTGTGGGGGCTCTTGAGCCTTCCCCCTTTCATGCTACAATGTTGACTGGCTTGATCTTGTGCAGTCAAGCCCAGCTGCTGTGAGTTTATGAGTGCAGCAGTCCTATGGTATCCAGAAGACATTGTTTGGCTTGATCCTCCCTGACCTCTGGTTCTTAATCTTTCTGGCCACTCATCTTCAATAGTCAGGTTTGTTTTGACTCACAGTTGGAGGATACAGTCCATCATGGTGGGAAGATCATAGCAGCAAGAGCTTGAAGCAGTTGTTCACATTGTGTTCACAGTCAGAAGCAAACTCTGAGGAATGAATGCACTCAGCTTACTCTCTTTTTATTCAATCTAGGACCCCAGTGTATAGAATGGCAGCACCACATTTTGGCTGAGTCTTTCCACCCCAGTTATCCTAATATGGATGATCCTTCACAGACATTCCCAAAGGTCTGCTCTTCAGTATTCTAGATCCTGTCAAGTTGACAGTCAGTGTTAACCATCATATGAACCAGTGAGTTTATTGGAGTTATTTATAGGAGCATGGGTGTTTGAAAGCCATCTGCATCAGTGAAATGTCCACCCCAGTATGGATGATAACCCACAAAAGCTACATCCCCAGAGCTCTTTGCTTATCCTGAATGAAGTTTCTACTGAGAGTCTCCACTTCCCATTAATTTCTTACTGCTTTTATTAATTTGGAGTCTTATGAGTTCGCTGGGACTTCGAAATCTTTTTTGCTTCTTGAGTTTTATATGCCTGCCTTCTCCCTTCCAGAAACTGTTTCAATTCATAGGAAATAGCTACAAAAGGATACTGTATATGGTTTTCTGTTACTAATTTTTCATCAATATTATATTCTTGAGAGTCACATATAGTGCTCATTTTTAAACTCTCTTTTATTTGGGGTTTTTAAAGCCTCTCCCTTCTGGCCCTGTAACCCTAGATAGGGGAGAGAAGGTTAGTGGGGAGAGGCTGTGTAGACCCCTTTACTTGTCCCTGCCGTTTAGGGTCAAGGGGTTCTGTTAGGGCCCTGTACCAATCTTCGTCAATAGCAACTACGGCTAGCAGCTGTGCCCCAAAGTGTTTCTCTCCGTCTGTCTGCTCCAAATAACCACAGTGTCTGTCTCTGGTCTCTGGTCTCCCCAAACTGCCACTTGCCACAACACCACCACAGAACGCCACACTTACTTTTTCTGGGCTTTCATTTTGATATTCTCAGAGCCCTAGACCACACCCTCTCTTCGTGCAGCATGAAGCAGGCTTTCACCAGATGTCAAAGCTACATCTTGAAAGAGAATTATCAGCTGTGGGCAAACTGAAGCCCAAACTAAAATCCCACACTTGGGGTTAAAACAAAAACATATTTACATAACATAACTGAGTTTACAAAGAAACCAAAACTTCCACTACAGTCACATCTATTGCTGCATGTGGTTGTAATTCATTATCAAGGATGTGTAACATTTCAGGTGATCATAAAACAAATAATAGATGTTTCTGTTTGTGGACATTTGGGTCCTTTCTAGCTTTTTTGCTCTTATGAACAGCACTGCTTAAATGGTCTTGTGCATGTCTCTGCTTCCCATACACAGCTGTTGTTCTGATACCTAGGAATGGAGTTGCTGGCCAATAGCTTACATAAAAAGTTCAACCACATTCTATACTATGATACAATTTATGCTCTTTTCAATGTGGAAAAGATTCTATTGGAACATACCCTTATATACTTGATATAATCCAATCTCTTTTATCAATATTGTATAAAATGATATTTGAATATGGACTTAGCATTCTAGTTTTTATCAATGTACTTGATCCTCTTTTCCTGGTTACTGGTCAGATGCTTCCTTTTTTTTGCTAAAGAACTATTACTATCTTTTATACATTTGAATCTTTAAATGTTCCATTGTCTTTTAGGAATTCTTTTGTTTTAGGGTCTCATAATTTGTGTGTAAACTTTTTTTCTCTGTGTCTTAGTTAAGGTTACTATTGCTGTAATGAAACACCATGATGAAAAGCAAGCTGAAGAGGAAAGGATTTATTTGGCTTACACTTCCACATTGTAGTCCATCACTGAAGGAAGCCAGGACTGGATTTCAAACAGTCCAGGGACCTGGAGACAGGAGCTGATGCAGAGGCCATGAAGTGCTGCTTACTGGTTTGTGTCTCCATGGCTTTCTTAGCTGCCTTTCTTATATAATCCAGGACCACCAGTTTAGGGGTGGCACTGCCCATAATGGGCTGGGCCCTCCCCAATCAATCACTGATTAAGAAAATGCCCTACATTTTCTTGATCTTACGGAAGCCTGATCTTATGAAAGCATTTTCTCAATTGAGGTTTCCATCTCTCAAATGATTCTAGCCTGGGCTAATTTGACATAAAATTGGCAATCATACTCTCCGTTTGTGGCTTTGTGCTTTATTGTATCTTTTTATGAGTTGATTTTTTTTTCATATGATGCTAGGGAGTGAAGCCTGAGCACTGTAACCTCACCAGTGCTACGCAAGTACTCTTCCCTCAGCCCCAGAAATTCTTTTCTTAAAGGAGTTGATTAAATCAATCTTTTATCTATTGTAGCCAGCAGTTTTTGAGAGTTCCTTGGCCCATGATCATATACATATTTATTATTTTTTTCTTTTCTTTTTTTCTTTAATAATGAACTAATTTATTTGTTAATGGACAGACACATAAATTTACACACAGCAAATAATCTAAATCTAAAAACACATGTACTAACTGCAGCCCCCGTTCTCCACAGTCTCAACACAGGTTTACATTGGCACCATATTTACATCTGGAAACACATTTCCCATTCTTCACTTGAGGCTCTACTGTGGAGACTGCTCACCTTTAGAAAGATGCCCACCCCCCCACCCCACCCCCAACTAGCCACTCACAACAATATACCAGGAGCACCAATTCTTGGGACAATGTTAGAGGCAAACTTGGCTTTTAGATCAAAGTTAAAGTGAAGAATGCCTGCTCCAACCCACTGCTCTCCCAGACAGAGTAAGATCTCAAAGGACGAAGTCCAAATTATATCTTTACACAGAGTGCTTTCCTGATTCTAGAAGACCACAGTTAAAGAAAATTATTAGAACTATTGATGAATCACATTTCATACCACCTCAATCCAGGATCTTTGAAAACAAACTATGCTTCAGACTACAGTGCTCTGGGCCCACAGAATGAGAGAAGCCAGCACACGGCAAAAGGTGCCACGCTGCCTTCTCCCAGGAAGTACTGAAGCCAGGAATAGCAGCTATTGAAATACCAAAGAGACACAGAAAAATAACAGAAAACACACAGGAATGGTAAAGTAGGAAGACAAAGCAATGTAGCCACTCAGTAAATAAACAGAAAATAGGAATTAGGTGATAAATTACAAAGCACAATAAAAGTGGTATTCCTGCCAATATAGCATGGTATAAAACGTTAATGTGTCTATATGCATTCTTCAAATAAGAAGTTCTCTCTTGAAGAGACAGGGAAGAAGGCAAGAGGGGAAGAGCCCATAAAACCATTGTCAAGTCCCCAATATATACTAGAAGGTTTTGAGTATCATACACCATCTCCTGTGTTCTTAGACCTCCAAATACGCTTGGATACATCAAAGATGGGGAGAAAGACCACTGTCATACTCCCTAAATTATTTGTTTCTTAGTAAATGTTTGTATTTAATAAAGCAAAATCTTCCCCGCTTTTTTGCCCACATATTCTTCTTACTTTATTTTTATTTTTATTTAAGACAAATAAAAATAAATATAGCCCTCACAATATAGCCCTGTCTGGCCTGAAACTCACCTTATAGACCAAGCTGAACTCAAACCCACAGAAATTCACCAGACTCTGTCTCCCAAATGCATATCTCCATAGTGTTCTCTGGTCTAACTCAATTCTTCTATTGTTCCTCCCCTTTAATTATTTTTTAATTAAAATGTAAATACATCATTCTCCCCTTCTCTTTCCTCCTTCCAATCCCTCCCATGTTTCTTCTACCATTGTTTATTCTCAAGATATTGCTTCCTTTTCTTTGTTATTGTTACACATATAGATACGTATATGTGTACATGTATGTATGTATATGTACAGGAATACAATTTACTGTCTATTTAGTGTTATTTGTATATGTATGATTTCAGGACTAACCACTTGGTATTGGATAACCAATTAGGGGTGTCATCCCTGGGAAATACTCTATTTTCCAGCTCTCAGCTGGTCATTGAGTAGTTATTTATTTAGGGGTGGGGCCCTGTATGATTTCCCCCTTCCATGGTAACATGTCTATTAGTGTTGTACTTGTTCAGGGCTTGTTTAGGCAGCCATGTTGATGAGACTTCATGGGTGAAACATCAATATGAGTTCTAGGAGACAAAAAGCTCACAGCAGATTTTATGGTCCTTTGGCCCTTAGAATATTTCTGCCATGATGTTCTCTGAGCCCCAGGGGCACGAGCTGTTGTTGTAGGTGACTGAGTACCCCATGATCAGTTTTTCTCTACATTTTGACCCATTGTGGTTTTCTGCATTGCTCTCCGTGTGTTGGAAGGAGAACTTTCTTTGATAAGGCCTGAGAGTTAGATTTATTTGTGGGTATAAAGATAAGTATTTAGAATGTAGTTAGGAATTATGCTATTTTAGAAAACTGGTAGTAGAAGGTTTTCTTGTAAGATCTATGGCTTCAATGGCTCCAAAAAGTTTGGTAGATTTCCACTACTGGGCATGATTTCCCTCCTGTTGAGTGGACCTTAAGTCCATTTAGACGGCTATTGGTTACCACCAACATATGAGTACACTATTGTACCTTTAGCCTTATCTCGCATTGCTGCAGTATAGTCGTTTCGAGGAATCATAGCTGGGTAGGACTATTGATTGCTTTCCTCCATTGCAAGCTTCACCTTCCAGTCCTCAAGGAAGCTAGTCCTCAGGAAGGAAGCTTTTAGGTCAGATCCAGATTAGATCACACAGATGTTTTTCCAAAGCATATGGTGTCTTCAGCAATAGGGACTTAACTTCAGCTTCTGAGAGCAACCAAGGGCAATGGGCAATAGCATACATTGTTTTGGACAACCCTGATCTGTTGGTCCTTATTTTTATGACATTAACTATTTTGAGTACTGTAGAATGCTTCTCTAGTTATAGTTGTCTGAAGTTTTTGCCTTAGACTGAGCTTCTTTTTAGAAAGAATGCCACAGAATTTAAATGTTCTTCTCATCACAAGAAGGGTTACACGGTATCTACATGACATTCCTGATGGGGTGAACTATAATTTCTTGGTTAAGGCAGTGCTTGCTGTGTTTTTGCATGGGAAAGTTGCTGTTTTTTTCTCGTTTAATATTTTATCCTTTGGAGGAATCTAATCCACTTTCATGGAGAGGAGGAGCAATTAAGCTCCAGCCCTGAGAAGAGGGATGGATATGTTACTTGGAATTCTTCTGTAATGACTTATGTCTTATATTTTATTATTCTGTCACTTGTTTGTATCAGTATGCACTTATGCATATTTGTTCAAGTAATTTCAGTAATAAATCCAGTACTCTATTCTTTGGTTTGATGTTCACATTGTTTCACCTTTGCCCACTGACAATTCTTTCAGATTGGCTTCTGTGCCCCTTTGACATGTTCTCATTCTTGTTGGCTATTTGTGTTTATATGTTTGTCTGTCTGTCTATTTGCATATATACCACAGGTGTAGAGGTATCCATGGAGAGCAGAAAAGGATATTTGATCCCCTAGAGCTGGAGTCACAGGCTGTTTGCTGTAAGCCACCTGATACGGGTGCTGGGATCTGAATCTGAGTGCTTTGCAAAAGTAGTAAGCACTTTTAACCACTGAACCATCGGTTCAACCCTGTTCTTGGTTTTTAAGGGCTTCCTTGCTTTCTGGAATTACATTCTCTATAGTCATCTTTTCATATCCCAAGGAAATTCCTGAATCAGCCATTTCTCCAAAAAGACCTGATTCCCTTTAAGATGTCTTCTTTCATGTTTTCCATATTGACATTCTTGTCAAATATAAATAATGAAAGATTTTTTCCTTTTCAGTTTTTTTGCCTTTAATATATTTTTATTGTTTTAATGAGAAGTCCAGGACATCTAGTATAATTCTGAATAGAAAGGTTATAGTGACATCCCTTGATTGTAACTTTTCAAGGAAACAACACTAAGTGCTCCTTATTTAGAACAATATTTGTCATGTGGTCTCTTCAGGTTTCAGAGGTTAAGAAAACTTCATCCTATTTCTTTATGCTAAGAGGTTTTAATAGTTTTAAACCATGAAAAGGTTTTTTTTTTTCAATCAAATGCTTTTCTGTTTCTTAGGATGATTATGGTTTGTCTTCAATAGTCTGATAATGTGGCCCAATTAAATTTATAGACTATTTTGCATTTTTTAAAATACATCCATAAGGTCTGGAGAGATGGCTCAGTGGTTAAGAGCATGGTTGCTTTTCCAGAGGAGTCAGGTTCAGTTCTTAACTCCCACGTGGTGATGCACAACCACCTAGATCTCCGGTTCCAGGAGAGTCAAGTCCCTCCTCTGGCTCCGTAAGGAGCAGGCATGCACATGCTGTGTAGACAGGCAAAACATTCATGAATGTAAAATATGAATGAATGAATGAAATTAAAGATTTATGCATGTGTATCTGTGCACTGTGTGCTTGTAGTGGCAACAGAGGCCATAAGAGGGTGTTGGATCTTCTGGAACTACAGCTACAGATGATAGGTGTCCCAGGTCCTCTGCAAAAGCCATCTCCCTGGCTCCCATTTTCAGTTTTTTACATGAGAAACTTGAAATGTGCTTCCACAGCATATTTTTTATGTAACATTTTATATTTGAAATGGGTATACACAAACTCTAACCAAAACTTTCTAGTAATGTGTCTATCAAATTATTAACACCACCGACGAAAAACTTTTGTAATATGAGAAGGTGATGAAATACTTAAAACCAGTTCTTAAAATGTTCATAGACATTTAACAGTTAAAAAAAAATGCAAGTTTTTCTTTTGTTTCACTGACAAATATATTGTTGGAATTTCTATGATATAGAGTAGATTTCAAAGCCATTTCATCTCTCTCTCTCTCTTTTTTTTTTAACTAACTCTTTCAAAATAATGATGAAGCTCTTATTTGCAGAACATCCACCATTATTAGAACCATCACCCTGCAGCTAGCTTGGACATCATTAAAAGGGCTCATCAGAAGTATCTGATATTCATGAAGACAGAGTTTCAGGGTTTCTGCCTGGAGCTACATTCTCCAGAAGCCCCTGCGTGGCTCCCCCGCACCCAGCCCCATATCAACCATTTACGACTTGGGCTGTGTATGGTGTTTCTTGGAAACTGGAACACAGACTCCTCCCCAGGCCTCCTCTCCAGCCCCTTTTCCTCAATGAGCGGAAGACCACAGAAGCTGGCTACTGAAGAGGCTGTCCAGATGGCAGAGCACCTCACTGGCCTTGCTTAGCACCTTTACCACAGAGCAGTCTCTCAGTGCTGAATGTTCCTCATTTGTGCTCACCACCTGCAGGGACTGAGAGATGTGGCAGGCCCCACTTCACTAAGGGCTACCCTCTAGGGATCCCTCCAGACAAGGCTCCACTAGAAAGAGGTGGTCTTTCACAGGGTTTTCACTCCCTTGAGTCCTACCTGAACACCTCTAGGGCCGCAGAGATCAGTAGCTCTTCACCTATCTGTAATCCACATCCTAACTGGAAAACTCTATGTACTAGTTTTAGTTGGCTTTTTTTTTTTCCTTTATCCTTTTGGTGAGAAGAGTTTTAAATTCTGCTCAGTCCCTTCAGTAGTTGTGGTACTATTGAGAACTTGTTTTTCCTCTTGAGTAAATTGTGGGGATAATTCCTTAGGAATTGGTCCATTTTGTCTGTGTTTTCAAATCCACTGGCATAAAGTTCCATTTTGAAATTGTCTTCTATATATAATCTGTAGCTATGTCTCCTTTTTCATTGCTAATACTGGTTATTTGTGCCTTCTCCCTTTTTTTCTTGATCAATCTTACCAGAGGTTTGTCTATTTTATTGGTCTTTACAAAGAACCAACTTTTGGCTTTGTTGCTACTGTCTATTGTATCTTTGTTCTCTATTTCTTTAATTTCTGCTCTTATCTTTTTTGACCTCCTTCCTTCCACATTTTTTGGATTTATTCTATTGTTCTTTTTCTGATTTCTTACATTGAATATTGAGTTCATTCATTTTCAGTCATTTGTTTTCTTTTTCTGTTTGCTTGGTTTTGACGTCTGTTTTTCTCCTCTATGTAGACCAGGCTAACCTCAAATTCATGATGATCTTCTCCCTTAGGCTCCCCAGTACAGAGATTTACAAGCATGAGGCACTGAGTCTAGCTGTCAGGCTTTCTTTATTGTTTTCTAATTTAGATATTTAAAAGCTATAAATTTCCTGCTAAAACTGCTTTCCTACATGATCATATATGGTAGTAATTTCACTGTTGTTGAGTTCCAAGTACTTTAGTATATTTGTTATCATTACTGCTCATGAATTACACAGAAGTATGTTTTTAAGTCCCCAAATGTTTGGGGGATTTTGAATTTGTTCTTTTATCAAAATCTATCATATTAGGTTCAGATGATATGGTCTATGTGATAACTGAAATTTATTGAGATTGTTCTATTGCTCAGTACATGATATATAATTATTAATGTTTCCTATGTGCTCTATAAGAATGTGTATCCTTTAATCATTAAATATAGAGATCTATATATGTCTATTAGCAACTACTGTACTAAAATTATATTTATCTAAACTGATAGTTTTTGTTATGATCTTCCAAGAATTTTTAAAGTTAACTCTGACACTAGAGTTATGTGTTTTCTCCTTATAGTTTCCTTTTTAACATAAATTAAGAATTGTTATATTTCTGGTAAATGTGTAATCCTTCTCTATTTCTGATAATAGAGGAATTATGCTAGATTTTCTTGTATTAATGTAACAGCACAAGTTTTTCTTCTTGTTAGAGTTTGTGTGGCATATAATTTTCTATCTTTTTACTTTTAAGAATTTTTTAGACCTTAGTGTTTTAATTGTATTTTTTTGAAAACAGCATGTGGCTGGACATTTTTTAAAAATCTAATCTTAGTCTTGGCATGGTGGTGTATGCCTTTAATCCCAGCACTTGGGAGGCCAAGGCAGGTGGATCTCTGATTTGAGGCTAGCCTGGTCTACAAAATGAGCTCCAGGACAACCAGAGATACACAGAGAAACCCTGTCTCAAAAAAAAAAAAAAAAAAAAAAAAAAAACTTACCCAATGACCTCTGCCTTTTAAAATTTGCAACTTTAGTTTACATTTGTTGCAGGGTGTGTTTGGGATGGTTTCTACCATAACTTTCTTGTTTTGGTTTTCCACATTTTTTTTCTGTTTCATTTTCTCTTTTACCTGTTTTTAGTTTTAAGTTTTTCTTCCTGTTAGGATTTATTTTTCTATTTTTTGGTTATCCTTGAAAGTTTACCACGTATGTTTAACTTCCAAAGCTTGAACAATATTTGCATTGTATTTTGAATTCTGCAGGAAGGTTAGAAACTCAATTTTAGTATTCCTCTCCTAACCACTTGATTTTATTTTCAAGTATGTAAATTTATTCCTTTGTTTTTGTTTGTTTTATAATCACACAGTTATATATTATCAGTATTGTTTTTATATGAACAGGCAGTATTTGTTCGGATTTATATACATACATTCTTGCTTTTCAGACCCCCTTATGACATCATTTTCTCTCATTATGAATAGTGTTTATTTATTCTTTTAGTTCGAATTTCCTGATATTAAGCTCTCTGAGTCTTTGTTGTGTGTTAAAGGCTTTATCTTCTTCCTTAGAAGAGTATGCTCAACCTTTAAAATACGTGTATATGCCTTGTTGCCTTTAAAAAAAATACATCATCAGTCTAATTGTAGTTTGGTTTCATTTGTTTTTTGAGTGGGGTGTGCAGGGAGTACTGTGATTTCATTCTAACATGTTTAGACTTGTTTCTGTTTTATTTATTCTACTTTTGAAATATGTTTCATGGCTTAGTAAGTACATGTTTTTTATATAATTTCTGGAAATTTCTCAACTATTAGATTCTTTCTAGTTTTTTTTTCCCAAAATCCAGTTACTCATATTTTGTACCTCTTAATTCTGTTTTTTTTTTTATAACTCATAACAACTCTTTGATATTTTCTATCTCTTTCTACTTCATTTGGAGAAATGTCCTTGATTGTATGTTTTAGTTTATTCTCTGTTCAGTTATGTTTAATCTGCCTTCTGTTTTTTCCACTGAGTTTTTTTATTTGTGTTTTCCTTTGTAAAAGGTTCATTTATATTCTAATCTGTCTAGCTATCCCTAATTAAGTCTTTTGTTGCTTGCTCATCTTGGTGATTACATCTATAACTCCTTTAAGTATAATTTTTGTTAAATCAGTACTCGCTTTTTTGTGTATGACATTGTAAATATTGTGCACATCTAAACTACACAGCACACTGATTATACCTTTATTTGTGTACATTTTTCCCTAAAATCCAGTGTTCTAGGAATTTGTTTTCTTTTCCTCATGCTGTAGCACCTGTTACTAATTCTTAGTAATTCTACAAGAATTAAAAATTCTTAAAAATTATTTGTGAGACACAAATCAGATCGTGCCCCTATTCTGCTCAAAATTCCCCCAATGACCTCCAGTTTCGTCAGTGCAAAAGCCAGCATCATCTCCATGGCCCAGATGTTCCTACAGTCTAGTTCCCTTCACCTCCCTGATCTCATTGCTATCATTCTCACTCTTCTGTAGCTATGCTGGCCTTTTTCCTGTTCCTCATGCATGCTAGGGACCTTCCACCATCAAGGCCTTTGTAGTTGCTGTTTTCACCAAGTGGAATAGCTTTCTTCCCAAATAATTTGATGACTTGACCTAGTGTTTCCATTATTGGCCCTATTCCTCTCCATGTTGTGTCTTATCCTATTCTATGTTCTGTCTTCTACAAAACACTAATCACTACTTGATATCTACTTATTTATTGTGGTTAGTGTTTGCCTCCACCAAATAGACTGTAAGCTCCTCAAAGCAGAATTTTCCGTGTTGTTTACTGCTGTAACCCCAGTGTCAAGAACAGTGTGTAATAATATTCAGTGAACATTCAATAAAATATTTGTGGAATAAAGTGAATGACTGACTGACTTAATTTTCATTTTTATTTATTTTTGTTTTTGTTTTCTGAGACAGGATTTCTCTGTGTATCCTTGGCTAGCCTAGACTTGCTTTGTAGACCAGGTTGGCCTCAAACTCACAGAGATCCACTTGCCTCTGCCCCCTGAGTGCTGGGATTAAAGGTGTGTGACACTACACCAGGTCTGACTTAATTGTTTTAATATGAAAAACACAGAAATACTAAGAGAATTCAGGTCAGCGTAAAGGCTTTTATTGGCATGCTAGGGAGCATAAGTGCTAATTCACAAGAATACTGAGTAGAAAGACGCATTGAGAACAACTCCTAGGTTTTCTGGAGTAGTAACTTTACAAATGGCAGAATCATGCAAAGCCCTGTGTTCTTTATGACTGAATCTACACTATTTGCTCCTAAAATCAGGAGTGCTTTTTTTATTTTATTTTATTTTATTTTATTTTATTTTATTTTATTTTTTATTATTTTTGAGACAGGGTTTTCTTGTATAACAGAGTTCTGGATGTCCTGGACTCACTTTCTAGACTAGGCTGGCCTTGAACTCACAGAGATTAGCCTGCCTCTGTCCCCCACCCCCCAACCCAAGTGCTGGTATTAAAGGCATATATCACCATGCCCAGTAAGGAGTGCCTTTTTTTTAACCAACTCTCAAACTTATATTGCCATGTTCCCTTTACATTGTGCAAACAAAACCCCAGGTCTCTCAGCTAACTAGCATTCTCTTTTCTTGCCTTGCTGTTTCTTGGTACTCAGGTCAAGCAAATCACTCTCATTAGACTTTATCTGTGGTCCTTGAGAGGAGAGGATTGTGGACATTGTCTTGTGCATAGTCAGTACCATTCAACAGGTAAACACCACAGAAGGCAGTTTTCACATTGAAAGGCTTCCTCCCCCTATTGTCAAGGTAGCAGCAGGCTACGAAGTTTAGGTCCGACTTTCCCCTTGACCCCCCTTGGGTAGTAGGCTGACTCCAGCGTTTCTGCATGTGTGTGACTCCTTGTATACTAATACTATTATCTAACAGCCATCAACTTTTATCGATACACATACTTTTGTTGCCACTAACTTCATCAAAATGGTAATATACACAGCCATGTGGCATGCCATTAGAGACACACTTTCCAGGCCAATATTACTTGAGTAACCATTAGCACACTGGGTTTAACTATCTGATTAGGTGAATAGTTGTACAAAGTAGACTGGCCTCCTACTACATTTTAGGTCTCCTGCTCTGCACTGACAACACCAAGATGAATAAGGCATAATTAAGATATAACACCCTAATTTCTGGATAAACAGTATGATAACAGTGATGGACACAGTAGACCAAAAATCCCCACAGAATGCTCAGCTCAGGAGAGTCCAAGGAGTTTTCTTGGAAGAGATGGCATATGAACTGCACCTTAAAAGAAGAATTCCCATTCTAATTAATAAATAAGGGGGAGAAGGTGGTAATTCAGGCAAAGGGCACATTATACGCAATGATACATAACTAGAAAACACTATGCCATGCCAACCTGCCTCACTACACTGACCCTTCACCATTCTTTCTATGAGAGCATACGAGTACACTTTGATGCATACTAAAATTCAAATATAAGGAGTTGTGGTCTCCTCTGACATGCTTGCTAATCTGGTAGTTATTAAAAAGTTAATCAGAAGAAGGAGAAAAGAGAGAACAAGTCAGGAGCCTGACACAGAGGACCTCTGAAAGGCTCTGCCCTGCAGACTATCAATGCAGATGCTGAGACTTATGGGCAACCTTTGGGCAGAGTGCAGGGAATCTTATGAAAGAAGTGAGAAACAGTAAGATCTGGAGAGGACAAGAACTCCACAAGGAGAGCAACAGAACCAAAAAATCTGAGCACAGGGGTCTTTCCTGAGACTGATACTCCAACCAAGGACTATGCATGGAGATAACCTAAGACCCCTGCACAGATGTAGCCCATGGCAGTTTAGTATCCAAGTGGGTTCCATAGTAATGAGAACAGGGACTGTCTCTGACATGAACTGATTGGCCTGCTCTCTAATTACCTCCCCCTGAGGGGGAAGCAGCATTACCAGGCCACAGAAGAAGACAATGCAGCCACTCCTGATGAGACCTAATTGACTAGGATCAGAAGGAAGGAAAAGAAGTCCTCCCCTATCAGTGAACTTGGGGAGGGGCATGCATGCAGAGGGTGGAGGAAGGGAGGGATTGGGATGGGAGGAGGGAGGGAACCACAGGGGGGATACAAAGTGAATAAAATGTAATTAATAAAGAAAAATTTTAAAAAGCAGAAAAAAAAGTTAATGACAAGTTTGCTTGACATGACTGAC